GGGCAGTGGGCACACAGTTACTCACACCACGGGCTCTTCTCGCCATAGAAGACGCTGAAGGTGTCAGACGGGCTGGCCAGGCCTGCAGTGGGCACAGACTGGGGGTCAGTGGGGCACAGGGCTGCCACGATCTGCCCCCTTCTGCTCTGCCCTGACAGCATTTCCCCTCCAGGCTGGCACCATTGAGGGTCACTGCCCAGGGGAAGGAGCCCCCAAGCGTGTTTCTGGAAGCTGTGCTGGGTGCCAGTGCCTGGGAGGTGATGCCAACAGGCAGAGCCGTGTGTGCCAAGAGGAGACATGTCCCTGTGCCAGCCCTACCACCACTTACCCTCATCCAGGGCAAAGCCCACGTTGAGAGCTCTGAACTCAGGACGCTGCACGAACATCTCCATGCCCTTGTGTCCACCCACCTCCTCATCTGCAGGGGAGAGCCTGGTGTGGAGGAAGGAACGGGGCGTCCCTGGACCACCACCCCTAGTCCTCCTTCCACGCCAGCCCAGGTGGCAATGTCCTCGGACATGGAAACCCCTCCAGCCTCGAGCTAGGGGAGCTTAAAATCTGGAGATGCTGGTAGGGGGGGTGCCTGGCTGCCATGCCATGGGGACCTCCAGAGCATCACCCAGCTGTCAGCCCCTCCTGTCCCCCCAAGAGGGAACACACTGGGGACTCACCAGGCACAAAGGTGAGGTGGATGGTGCGGGCAAAACACTTTCCCTCTACCTTCAGTCTCCGGATGGCCTCGAGGTACCTGCAGGGAAAAGGTGCTGCTGGGCATCATGAAGGAGAGAGGCTGGTGTGCCCTGAGCCACCCAGGGAGGGTCAAGCAGTGGCACCCTTAGCCCCAGGACCCTGGTGATAGTGGCATCCTGTCCTACATCAGTCAGAGCCACCCCCACCCACCACCATGTCCAGCTGGCCTCCACTCACTGGATGGAGACACACTTCATGTCCTGGGCACCCCGGGCGTAGATGTTGCCTTGTGAGTCCTTAACAGCCTCGAAGGGTGGGTAGGTCCAGTGCTCCTGAAAGGAACCACAGCCGTGATGGCAGAGGGGCTTAGCAGGCACCAGCTCCCATTCACTGGCCACCCCCAGAGCTCTCACTGTGCCCATCCCACCCTTCGCCCTGTCCCAGCACCTCAAAGACAGGCACAACGTCGGTGTGGGAGTTGAGGAGGATGGAGCGCAGGCGGGGGTTCGTGCCCTGCCAGGTCAGGATCAGCACCACGCGGCCCTGGCACACCTGTGGAGCAAGGGCAGGATGTCACCAGGGTCCTGGCTGGGGGCAGAGGGGCTGGGACTGGCAGGCTGGGGCCAAAAAGCATCAGCCTGGGAAAAGTTTCATGATGACACCTGGCAGGTCACCCCTTTATCCGTTGGGAGAGGACAGGCAGCAGCAGCAGGCATGCCTGTACCTCCCCAGATACAGATTGGGGATGGGAGAGGAACCCAGCGCCTTCCCCCAGTGCCCAGGAGTCCCCTGGGACAGCCAGTGCCCAGCAGGAGGGACGTCCTCAGCCAGCATGACCCTGCCAGGTCCCCAGCTAATCATAGCACAGGCGGCTGCAAAGGTCAGTGAGGACCAGCCGGAATACAGGCTTAAGGAAGGGCTCATGTCAGCAGAGGATTACAGGCAGAGGGGATTCACTCCTGTCCGGCTCCGGGGTGGAGGCAGGGGAACATCCCGGTCACTAAGGACCCGGGCATGGATGTATGGATGGACAGACAGACTGGGAGCTGCTTCTCGCCTCACTCACCTCCACTTTCTGGCAGGCCAAGCCCAGGTCGGTGCCGACACGCTCCAGAAACCGGATGGCTGCATCTGGGGAGGAGTGGGGATGCCTCGAGTTATGCCAGGATCTCCCTCCCCTTTCACTGCAACTCCCTGGGAACCCCAAGGCTTTCTGGGGTTCCCAGGCCAAGGGGAAAGGCGACCAGAGAGGGCAGGTGTTGGAGGTCCTGGTCACAAGAGCTGGCTAGCACTGGGGACAGGAGTGGCTTGTCACCATCCCTTTGGGGTGAGGAATAGGTGAACATGAAAAAATAAAAACTGAAGGGGGTAAGTTCAGGGAGGACTGTCCTCCATAGGAGTTTTGGGAGCTCCTCAACAATAAAAAAATCTCAATGTACTTTAGTGGGAGGACAGAAATGTTAATGGAAGATCTACACAGGATTACCACAAGCATCCGTCCCTGAGCCAGGGCTGCATGGAAAGGGGCGGCCCTGGGGCACGGGGCTGGAGGAAGCAAATGGCAGCTCTGGGTACACTCACGACATCCCTGCCCCAACCAAAGGCACCAGCAGAGAAAAGGCACAAAGGTGTTCGCTCCTTAATACCACAGTCAAAACAGTCCTGGCCAAGAACTCTGGCACCCAAGGTCCAAAGACCAGAGCTGCAAAGCCGCGTTGCCAGATCCCTGCACAGCTCCCCATCCCGTCCCCCCATCCTCACCATAGTCAGGTTTGGGGTGGACGGTGTCAATCCTCAGGTACTCCCGGAAAAGTGTAACTGAGGGGTCCTCCGAGGCCCCTGTGCTCTTCCCAGGCTTCCCGGGTGACATGTCAGGGACCAGGGCTGCAAAGCTCTGGGAGGGGTGGCAAGATGGTTAATCACCCACCGGACCCTCCAAAGTCCACCGGCAAGCTCAGTCGTCACAGAAACCGAAGAAGGATGGGGCAAAGGTCTTCCCCGTGTGAGTTCTCCTGGGACACTGCCACCACTTGGGTATTGAGGCAGGATGGGGTGTGCCCCCCACACCGTCCTTTCATTCTTCCCCCAAAGTGCACATTTCTGCCCCAAACACAGTGCCGGGGCACAGGGTGAGGTGCGAGCTGCAGGGAAGGGCTAGCTGGGGTGTAGGGGACTAGCAAGGAGGAAAGGGGGGCGACAAGGTGGGGAAGGGGGTTATGGGGGGGAAGAAGGGTGTGTAGGGTAGGGGCACATAGTAGTTGGGATTAGACAGGGATTAGAGGTCCAGAAGGATGGTGGGGGAGTGCAGGCAGGGAAGGCAGGATGCTGGTGTGAGGGGGTGCAGGCAAGGAAAGGGGGACACTGCCTGCTTAGGGGGTGCGGGAAAGGTGCAAGGAAAGGCATTGGGGGTGCAGGGAAAGAGGTGGTGAAGGGTGATTGAGTGCTTACAGAGGACAGAGGGGCTGGGGGGGCTACAGGAGGGTGACAGGCAGTAGCCTGGTTTTGGGGTGTTTGAGGGGTGCTGGGCAGCTGGAGGAGCAGGAGGATCTGGGGTGATTCAGGGCACATGGGGGTGCAGCAGGAAGGGTGAAGGGGAACACTGGGGTGTATGGGAGTAGGGGGTGCAGGGACACTGTGGTTAGGGGTGCAGGGGTACTGTGGTTAGGGGGTGGGGGTGCAACATATCATGGCTAGCAGTGCAGGGGGGTGCAGGGGGCTGCTGCACGGGGTGCAGTGGTTGTTATTGGGGTGCAGGGGTAGCACGGGCAGGAGGGGTGCTGGATACCGTAGCTGAGGGTACGGGGGGGTGCAAAATAATACGATTAGGGGTGCGAGGGGTACGGGGGGTACAGGGTACCGCGGTTAGAGGTGCAAGGGGGTGC